CACCGGGTGACGGGTGCACTGGCCATTTGGTAGATCAGTGGTAACTCACTTTGGCACTAAAGCTGTTTGTGAAGCTTGGCTAGGCACTAGATATAGGTTAGACCTGATCACACTGGATCTACTTGAAACATTTGCAGTGCCAAGTTACTATTGCTGGTGTAGACGTTAGAACCCATACACAGCACAATGAAACTGCTTGTACCTTTCCTCATTAATGACATACATATCCAGAATTAATAAAAACACGATTGTACCCTCAATGGTTAGAGGACAGTTGCTCTAATCACCTTCCCCCCCAATAATAACCCAACATCCCTATAACATCTGTATTCCAAATGTTTTACTACTACCAATACCTTCTGTTTTCTAAAGCATGTTCATCTAATTATTACTGATCAAACGGTAGTCGGACCATATAAATGAATACCAAGGATTGGGGCAGTAATTGACTGACACACTCAGCCGATGCTTTCAGCCTATCACTGCCCCGCTACGCCTGGTATGGTATGGAGTGTAGTGAAACATAGCTCTACCATTAGAGGCCAGAGACCAAGCATCTCAGTTTAAGGTTGATGTTAGACCATGGCCTCCAGGCATCATCATCACTTCAATACATTGAAGTAGTTATGGTGCCTACAATGTTCCTTTAAGTGTCAAGAAGAGCTTTCAAATCAGTAATTAGTGGGATTTATCGTGTCTAGGATACTCGGATAATAGTTTGGAATATTCATCATATAGCTAAACCCATGAAATAATGGGTGTGATGTGCATGGTAAGAATGACATATCTTTGCCAGTCTGTAGGAAGTTTATATGTTCAACTCGAGCTAAATAAATATGTAATCTAGAAACCCCAACATTTGCATTCACATATAATCACAGTCCTACCTTTCCCATTTTCTGCTTAAATCTACTTGGCATAGCTAGAATTTCCACTTCAAATCTAATTCACTGTCAATTTTTTTTTTTTAAGATCCTTCAGTCAATTAGCATGTTCCCCTGAGAAGTCAATCTGACATATCCCGCTTCTTGATATTTTCTGCTGAGTGCTGATGAACACTTACCTACGGTCTCATTCTGCATCTCACAACACAGATCATATTCACAAACTTGATTGATAGATTTTTTTTTTTTGTTATTCCAGTGTTGTTTTCATTGCCCCCAAACTGCCTGTAATGTTATTTTCTTCACATATTTTGTTGTCACAGCGAAGAGAACTCAAGTTGGCAGAGGACAGAGGTCATTCGACTGGAGCAAGATGTGTTCACTGCTCTTGCTGGACGTGGCCAGCTGTACGTCTATAAAACAGATGGTTTCTGGAGCCAGATTAAATCAGCTGGGTAAGAAAAAAAGATTCAAGTGGGGGCAGATAACAGCATTCCGAGGGAGGTAAATGGTACAAATTTGGGAGTAGCTTTCTGTATAGTGTGTGACATGCAGAACATGCTAAATTTGTCCATTTTCTGGGTTAGATTACCCAATCTTGCTTAGTTATGAAGTTCCTATTGGATTTAACTACGGTTTGTGTTATTTTTTCAATAGGTCTGCAATTTATGCCAGCCGCCTTTACCTGAACCAGTATCACACCACACATCCAGAAAGACTGTCGCTCACAGAGAATAGCGGGCCAACCATCTTAGGTAATAAAATATAGACAGCTTAATCTTTTTTCCATTGTAATGTTCTTCTGAGCTGGTGTGACAGCAACATTTTAACCCATTTTTACCTGTGTGGTTATATTGTAGGAAATGTATACATTCATCCTACAGCTAAGGTGGATCATTCTGCCGTGGTGAGTAAATACCTTGCAATGTTTTCTATAGACTATGTGTAATTCTCACACACAAACCATCTCAATGTGTTTAGAGACATTTTCTACCCTCCCTCCGACCCTTGAATATCTCTGAAGTAAATCTGCACAATAAGGGAGGAATGCAGAATTTGTCCCTAAAGTTTAGGAGATATTTTTGGGGTTCAGCGATGCAATATGTGCACATGCTAAAAAATTGATATCAGTTGCAGCTATTTATAAAGGAGTATCCCCTCTTTGCAGCTTGGCCCCAATGTTTCAGTAGGAATGGGAGTGGTGGTCGGAGCTGGTGTCCGAATCAGAGAGTCGATTATTCTGCATGGAGCTGTGCTGCAGGTAAGCAACAGCGCAGATTGTAAGCCGGGAGCTGCTAGTATAACCTCTGTAGTCACATCTGCACTGCTTTACAAATCTATTGACGTATTTCAACAGGATCACAGCTGTGTGTTGAACACTATTGTCGGATGGGATAGCAGCATTGGCCGTTGGGCGAGAGTTGAAGGGACACCCAGTGACCCCAATCCTAATGACCCTTACGCCAAGATGGACAGTGAGACCCTCTTTCGGGAAGGGAAGCTTACCCCTTCGATTACCATTCTAGGTAAAAAAACAAATGGGAGTTTGTCTTCACTCATTCCTTAACAAAATTTCCTACAGAAACTATGATTTCTCTTAAACTGTATCTTTTTGTGGGGCCTGGAGACTTAAGAGTAGAACCGGAGGTGCAGTGGTTTATTCGCCAATTGCAGTGATCTAAACCCAGTTGAAGAATTTAGCATGAAATAGCCAAGTGTAACTGTAGCTAGGATGGATAACTTTTCTAAATAAGCAATTTGGCATTCGATTCACTCAGTGAATAAACTCCTTAGCATCTTAAGTGCACGGAAGCAGAATAAACTTATAGCTCAGCAGCTGAGAGGTGTTGGGATATTTTGCAACAAAAATTACAGTGTGTGTCAGAACAGAGGTACTGTAATACAGAGACTGAGAATTTAGATGTAGCAGACAGCCCCAACTCTGTTCAGTTTCTCCAATGTATACCCTGCTGTAGGGTGATGGATTTACTTGAATATGAAAAAAAAATTATTCTTTGAATTCTAAATTATTAGATTGTTAGTGAAAAATCCAGTCTATCTTGCTTTTTCTTAACCTATCAAGGTGGGCGAGGGTACTTTTATGTTTGGAAGAATATACTAATCAAAGAACACTTACTGCTCAAGTGTTACACTACATTAAGCAGCCCAGCTCGATCTCATGTCTAACTACTTCTCATCCTATGGTCTTCTTTCACTTGCAGGATGTAATGTGTCCATTCCAGCAGAGGTTGTTATTTTAAACTCCATTGTCCTCCCACACAAGGAACTGAGCCGTAGCTTCAAAAATCAAATTATTTTATAGTGTGGGTGCAATTACAGGGGCAAGGAGCACCCACGTCTACCAGCCCGGAACATCGTCTGTCTCCAGCATACAGCCTCCGGTTATCAAGTTACAGCACAAAGAACTAATGAAGGACTGTTTGAAACCAGTGACACTTTCTAGGCATTCTGAATTAAGTCAAGTCATTAAAGGGTGGTCTATCAAGAACTTTTACACTCAAAAGCAACTAGCTGTGTGTAAGTGTATATATTATTCCTTTGGGCAATATCTTTATCTTAATAAAGTCTTAATAGGTGTCCTCTTCATACCAGATTATGTTCTCAACTTGTACTAAAAGTAGAAATAAAAGTATTTTCTGCGAGTTTTGAGCTGTCTCAAGAAGGCCTTCTGATAACCTCATCTCACATGAAACCTGCAAGATCTCTAGAAATCCTTTCACCAATTATGTTAAGAGCGGTCATGCTTGACCAATGCTAATTGGATCAGTGCATGTATATTCAGAACATCCGAAGTAGCTGTGTTAACGGTATGTAGAGTTAATAAGAATAAAAATTCTTTGCACAAAGTGCTACAGGAGTATTGGTAAGATGAGAACAAAATGCTTAAACAAAGTAATGGGGAGTGGACAAGAACAATTGAGGCAGAGTAACTGGAGCAAAATACACTACAGACATATGGAGTACGACTAAAGCTAAATTCTTATTACCACAGCTGGTTAGAAGACCTGGCTCCTCAGTGACTGCCCAACTGGAAATTTTCACCTGATACGGACGGAAGAGCAGCGAGGTATGGACTTAAGACTGGAGCTAAATGTACACCACAGTAAGAGGCAACCAGACTCCATAAAGGTTCCCCAACGATCACCCTTACCAAGAGCTAAAAATGATACAGCTTTATTGCAGGAGTAACCAGACGAGCAACAAAGGGGAGAGAAGATTCAACTGAATACGTGTGACCAGTGCCTATAACTGGAGTGTTTGGCGTGGGGATCGAGAGAACCGGACAGAATTGAAACAAAGAATGTGTTTTCATTGTCAGCTCTCACTATCCCCACGCCAAACACACCAGTTTTTTTTTTGTTTTTTTTTTCATACCCCCATTTGTGTTTAATGGGAAATTATAGGCTAGGAATACAAAATTTCTAGCCTATAGCCAGCCACTAGAGGTGGAGTTATCCCTGCAAAGTAATTACATTGAGAGGGACAGTGTGCTGAAGTGGTCCAGGTGCCTATAGTGTCTCTAGCTCATTTTTTTGTATCCCACATATTAACGGTTCTAAGATACTCCTTCTGTATTAGAAACCAATGGGTTTTATTTAGCGAAAAGAACTTCATAGCATAATATGCATGTCACAGTGTAGTGTACAGCAGCAATATAAACCACCTTCGCAGAATAGAGCCACGAACAGGCTTATATCTCGAATGATTCGTCCAGCACAAGTGCCAGTCAGTTTCTCGTTTCCCCTTCTGTAACCCAGTACGCAGATTCAGGGCTTCATGTTGTGGTGCCATCACCCACTGACCACAAGCTTGTGTTGGGAGAGTGTTCACAAAAATATAGGTTTTAAAAATATTCACCACAAATGTTTTATTTATTATTTTAGTTAAATGTTTTGAACACCCAGTGCTAAATATTAGAATTCACAACGTTTGAGTGCACTTAGTCCACTGGCTGGAAATCTTTCAAATGGTGAAAAACACAGGTTGGAATAAAAGTGCACAGTGCGTATGTGTCAATGATATCCCAGTGCTAGAAGAATAATGTTTTTGCTTTATCATAACGTTTAAAGGAAGAGTTGTGATCTCTGCCCTTCCTCAGGCATTGGGAGAGGTAAACAATCGTCCAGGTTTTCGAGGCAGGTTGCCAGAAGAAGGTGGCCTGTTAAAAGAAGAGCGGGGAATCAGTAACAAAACAATGGCGATAATAGTGGGAGAGGTGTGGTACTGTATAACTTACACCATGGCTGAAATTTGAGAGACACTGTTGATTATACGTTTGTTGTAACAATGGAAGCTTTATGAAAAGATTACTTTTGTGGTTCTAGAATGGTGAAACTATCACAGTCAAAAGATATGCACAAGAAAGTATAGATGTTTTTTTCTCATAATGAGCACATAATTGCACAATGCGCAACATTCTGCAGATCCTGGGAGCTTTATCTGCTAGGAGATCAATACTGGAAGATTGAGGATCCCAGGAGGGATAGCTCAGGTGACAGTCTTCCTCCTACAAGGATTACCGTGCAGAAATGGCACCAGGAGAGGTATTTATAAAGCATCTCTATCTTTTGATAATGCTGCATTTTTGCTAAGGGTCTATTTAAAGGGACACTTGTCATCAGAACTACCATCAGATGTCAGGTAAAAGTATAAAAATAAATAAGTTCTAAAAATATATGGCTAAAAGGCAGGTAGTGAGGCAGCCAAAATACTTTATTTTAACAGCATAAAAACCACAACACGTTTCTCCCCTTAGGACTTTCTCAAGTGGTAAGTGTTTTTTGTTTGCCACTTGAGAAAGCCCTAAGGGGAGAAACACGTGGGTTTTTTTTTATGCTGCTGTTAAAATAAAGTATTTTGGCTACCTCACTACCTGCCTTTTAGCAATATATTTTTAGAACTTAATTATTTTTATACTTTTATCGGACATCTGGACCTATTACCTACTGTGGACAACCAACTAAAAGAAATCCTTGGTAGGGATACAACAAAGGCTGGATACATAGAGCGGTTAGTCTGCTCACTCTATTTTGGGATTTACCATCATTCTACTGTGTACCAAAACCAGAGGGATATCCTGCAAGTGGGGATTGTATACCACTGAATGCTGTTTTCCCTAGAGCTGGTTATAGCTCTACCATATGTGAGTTGACATCTTATGTAAGTGTTGTTTGTCCTACCCGTATTCCCATATTGCACTCTTGGTTTGCCTCTGTTTTTGCTTCCTTTTCATATACTGCTATTAAACGAAGCTACCAAGAAAGTCCCATACCAGGACTGAAGATCAATTGCAACCTTAGGGACTGTGCCGTACCATTTGGTATTTTTTATTCTTTCAAGTGTTATTGTGGACTCTCTATATCCTGTGGGTTTTTTTATTGCTCTTATTGATATTATATTATTGTGTTTGGAATACTTTTCTTGGCGCTGCCTGTATATTGTTGTTTGACTTGTTTTGGGTTTCTTGGGGGTTGGAGGGATTCCCCTATGATCAGGTGTGCTTAGTTTGTTTAGCGCTGCTGTATTCAGCGGAATATACGTAGCGGAAGATCTAATACTTACGGGAAATTTGAAGAACAGGGCGCAATTTTCATCTCTGGAGACGTGAGAGGCCGGAAGAGACGTCCTGCACGAATGGTAGAGGGTCAATGGGTGTAGCAATAAGTTATGATTTTGAGTTGCCGTATTATTCCAGTAATGAAGATGTAAAATAACGTTTTGAAGTTTCTTGCGATACTATTTTTATTGGTTTAACAGATGTATACACATTTCTGTTACCCCAATAAAAATAGGTATTAAAAGAAACCGTAATTCACTTTTTTTTTCTTCATGTTACCAATACAGAAATACAGTTTAACAAAACCACAGTCTACACTACACCCTCAAAAATGACATTTTGCAATGAAAGGCCAGTGTGTGCCAATCTTGATCCTATTTTTAATGTACAGTGTTACCTCTTTAATGGGACAATCTGAAGTACAATCTATGCTCTTTGCACAGATCCTGATGCAAGGATGTCCCAATCTCCTGGCACATAATTACTCATAACCACAGCTATAAACCTAAACACTAACAGGAATGCTAAAGGAATCCCACGCTTTCACTGTGCCCATCGAAAGACTTGCAGACACTACATTCCCCACCTACAATAACAAGCTCCTTCGCATCAGGATTGCTTCTGATGGCACATAAGCAAAACTGAATAAGGCTAGCATCTGCTACCTTAGGCAGCAGTTAAACTCTCAGAAGTGTCAGGATTGGCTATCACACTTCCTGGTTTGGCAGGAGCGCAACTGCAGAAAATGCACTTCAGACTGGATATTGTAATACATATATTTTTTTTGTTCTTAAATATATTTTATGCATATTCTTTATAATGCTTTGTGGTGCACTCCAGCCTGGAGTGCAACGTAACAGGGAAAAGGATTTTTTGTTTTACAAATAAATTCGGAAACTTTCAATATATATATATGGAATAACAAGAGATTGGTTGCACTCACCGAAACATGCTTAAATTGGGTGCTGCTGGGGGTCTATACATACAGTAAAAAATGAAAATACAGCGCACTCCCTATCTACTAAACAGCTACTTTGGTGCTGACAGATTTTGTAAGTTTTATTAAAAACTGTATTTATTGGCCCCCAGCAGCACCCAATTTAAGCATGTTCCGGTGAGTGCAACCAACCCCTTGTTAATATAGTCTAGCCAGCTCCTTGGTTCTGCACCCCTCCCTGTCACAGGTGCCTCATCCCAGTACCCTATTTAACCTTGTACTGCAGAGAACTCGAGATGGAAGGATTTCCCCAAGTGAGTAGCTCATTTAGCAGACAGTTGGCAGTTAGAGTAGGAAAAAAAATTAATGTTCAACCTGCCAAAGATGGGGCATATTGACGTTGTGGCAGACTTATGCAATGTATGATCAAATAATATAACTAAATCCCCATTATTTTTCGCCTAGATTAGGTGTTTTTAATAAAACTTACAAAAATCAGTCAGCACCAAAGTAGCTGTTTAGTAGATAGGGAGTGCGCTGGATTTTAATTTTTACTGCTTTTAAAATAAATGTCAACACACACACAGTGGAGTCATGAACTTTAAGAAAAATAACTCTTACTGGTTTAGATCTTTTGACTCCTTTTATAATTCTCCAATCAATTCCTCTATTATTTGACTGTTTCTCTCTTACTGAAATGGTAGCATGGTCATGTACCATCCAGTGTTGGAAGCCCCCTTTTTTACAATTAACAGTAAACACAAACATAAAAGCACACCCTAGCTGCACAATCCTGGAGCATACTGCTTTACACGTAGCACTGTATACTGTGACTTTCATGGAAATATTTATGTTTTGTCATGTGGTGCCACCAATGTGTTGCAGCTCAGCTTTCACACCCTGCAGCCATCCCATTCAGTAATATAACACGGTCTGTAGCAACAGGTACACTAACAGAGGTTAGAATGGCCATTCTGAAAACTCTACCCTCTTACCCTGAGCCATGGTCACAGAGTCGCAGTTCTGAGCTTCTTGAAAACTGGAGATAAATTGGTTCCAGAAACTGCAGGGTACCGAAAGGAGTAACATCATCACCTGCGGAAATGGGAGGATTCAAAATAGTTCAACAAGTGACGCTATGAGTAGAGTTGTGAAGCTGGTAAAGTAAAATAGAATTTATAAACATGAAAGAGGTCACCAGTCGAGTAGACATTGGTTATATGGGTTTAGCCCGTACCCAGCGGTAGCAACGTATAGTAATATGGTGATTGTACAATAGCGTTCATTTTTCATCTCACTCTAAACTGGCTGCAGTTACTATAGCAGCAGCAATAAAAAAATAAATAAAAAAACACTATATAATCACTAGGATCCAGAGTTTAAGAAATTATTGCAAATTGGTCAAATTTGTGAATGCATGTAACAGAAAAGGGATGGTGAAGGGTCTATGCAGTTATTCAAAAATCCATTTGGATTTTTATGTGGTACAATGTCTGGGACATTCACTAAAGTGTAAATTGTAGTGAAGTCAAAGTGAATTTCATATTTTAAAATGGTAGTCTATGCACCATAACTACTACAGTTATCTCCTGGTTCTCTTGTTCACACTATTGCGAATATAGAATTTAAATTTTTGTTGTCCATTTATGAAAGATAGTAATCCGTATCAGCTAGTTATATAAATTGTGAGTTATTTGTAGCTTGGTATAAACACATATGGACACACATATAATTAGTTTAATTGTAGTACTCCCATATTGCGGACCTATGGCATATGCGTGGATTGCTTCGCCAATCCAATCGTGACTGGCTATGAGAGTCATTAGAGCAGTGGTTCCAGCCAAATGTAAGCATTATTGTTTCTCAGAAACTGCAATATTTGAAATATTCTGAGAATAAGGAACAGCTTCTATTGTAGTAGTTTTGGTGCCTAGAGTCTCCCATTAAAGAAGCACTCAAGGCACCATAACAACTTCATCAGAATGGAGTAGTTATGGTGCCAGGAAGTCTGCTTACCGTCAGTGGTTAAACCTCTAACAAACAGTTTAGCCCCACAGTCTTCTGTTCGGCACCGTTCACCTATTTCTCCTCCACATATGAACCGCGACTTGAAACATACGTATCTTTTTCAAGATGCATCACTTGGGAATGTGGTAGAATAATTGCACACTTAGAATTTAATCGGTTTACTAATTTATATGTGGAAGGTAGTATGCATCATCTCAGAAAGAACAGTATCTGGTTTGACAATTTTTCCACTGATGTATCTTTTTCTCCAAAGAGTAAAGCATCACATCATATATTTATTGCACTTTTTTGGCAGCAGATGTAAAGCTTTTACCTTTGCTTGTCTTGGGGTGTCCTGCATGATCATCAAAGGACTGGGATTTGGCACAGAGTAGCCAACCAGCGTCGGACCAAACACTCGAGATAAATTCATCTTATCCATCTTGCAATCTGGGCTCTTCATTACCCTGTAATATCACGGATTAGACACAGCAATCATTTCAGATCACACGTACTAACCAGGCGTGGTTCAAACGGAACAGAACGATTAAATGTTTCCTTTTGTGATAAATAGCCAGGGGAGCAGAGGGCATGAATAGTCCGTGCCCCAGTGGTTTATAGTTACCTGTTCAGGTGCACAATGAGAAAGGAAAGGGTCTCCCGGTTGGCAATGGGCAGTTCATGAACTGCTTGGCAAACCTCAGCTCGTGCTTCATTCTCATCCATGAGATCTATTGATTAAATGCCAATTATTAAAGACCTACTAACCTTCAAATACATATATTCCTTCTTCTGTTAAGTAAGAAAACTTGTTTAAGGATTTAATAATACTTGCATAACATTAGTGTGAAACTATAACAATTACAGGTTGGCAGCATTAGGAGCAATAAATGTTTAATATACAATACAAAGAGAGAAAAAAAACATGCATTTGTTTTTCGATTATGGAGTTTCCAGAAGATGTTTCACCTTCAAAATAGGACCCGTTTTAATATAAAAGAAACACCAAAACAACTTTAGCTTAAAGAAGCAGTTTTGGCGTACATATCATGCCCCTACAGTCTCACTGCTCTATTCTCCGCCATTTAAAATCACTTTGTTTATGCAGCTCCAGCCACACCCCCCCTGGGTGAGAGTTTCTTCAGCTGACTCCATCATTCAATGAGCTACACCTCTGCACAGCTTAGGAGATCCAGCAAAGCACCTAGCAGGAGTTTCAGGCTCTCCTGGAAGGTGCCGAGAGGCAGGGAACAGATCTGGCAGACTGCAGGTAAGATTTCAAACCATTAGAACCGTTTTCATTACTGGTGGGGTGGCAGGACACTCCTGGTACCACAACCACTACAACACACTGTAGTGGTTACAATGTTTGGAGTGTTCTCAGAAATCACCCTTTGACCAGAGTCTAGTACCCACCGTACCGGCAGCATCCATGAACTGGGCGTGCAGGGAGAAGGTCAGCAGAGGTTCCTGCAGATTCCGGAGGAATTCTTTCAAAGCCCCGCACACAGCGTGGATATCCTCTCTCTCCAGCTGCTGTGCCTTCACCTTGCCTTGAAGGAGTTTCTGTTTCAGCTCCTTCACGTGACTATCGCAGCCAGAGATCCTGTAGATACCTCGCTAGGAGACAACACAAGGAAGTGAAATACTGTTAGTCAACCAGGTGTGTGAGCAGTTTAACAATATAACAAGCATCAAAGGGACAGACACTCAAAAACTGTTGAGGACAAAGTCAACCCAGGCTAACACTGACTGTGTTCAAGTTTATCAAGTGGACATGGCATGAAGAGTGCTTTTCAATAGTGTAGAGCAGGCTTCCCCAAACTCCAGCCCTCCAGATGTTGCTGAACTACAACTTCCATGATTCGATTAATGAAAAAGACAGGCTGAGGATCACGGGGGTTGTAGTTCAGCAACATCTGGAGGGCCGGAGTTTGGGGAAGCCTGGTATAGAGTGTTTTCAAACTGCATTCAATTTATGAATCATACAAAACACTTTCTAAATGGTTTATAGACCGCACCCACAGTCATTAACCACCAATACTTTACTGACCAAGAATGCTGAACGATAATCAACGAAACGCGAAACATTTCCCCTACTGATTGACATTAGGACGCACATCAATCAGCAAAGAGACATTTTATTAGTAACTTTTGCCGAGGAGCTCACCTTTAGAAATACTAATTTAATGCAGAGTTAAAAACCGGTATCACAAAAACAGCAAATATAGAAAGACTGTGTCACACACCAACGCCTGTACCAGTTAAATGGACTACATCATGCCCAACAAACAGCAGTACCAGATAAATGGACTACGTCACGCCCAACAGACACCTGTACCAAGTAAATGGACTACGTCACGCCCAACAGACACCTGTACCAGGTAAACGGACTATGTCACGCCCAACAGACACCTGTACCAGGTAAATGGACTATGTCACACCCAACAGACACCTGTACCAGGTAAATGGACTATGTCACACCCAACAGACACCTGTACCAGGTAAATGGACTATGTCACACCCAACAGACACCTGTATCAGGAACCAGGTAGATTAATTTTAAAGTAAACAAATACGGTCTGTGTTCAAGTTAATCCCGCAAGACTTCCCAGTGAATGCATGCATAGTTCCCTCACCTCACTTAGCCCTCGTCTCTCAATTTCATTCACACAGTGAATCACCAGACCAGGAACTCTGAGAGATGTTGTAGGTGCAAAATCAGCAAGGACTCCCTGCAGAGAAAGATGCCATGGAGTGAAAACACTGAAGCAGTTTGTGTCTTAGCACAGAAATATAGGTATTTATTACCTGGCCGTTCTTGGGGTATATACTCTGAGTTGGAGGCGCTGGTGACGAACATGAACGGGAGCAATATCCCTTGCATTCTGGATGGATCAGAATGCGACAGTTTCTGCACTTTAAAGACATCTTCCCAAAACGCGTTTTCTGTCCACAGACAGCACAGAGCTCTGCTCGGATCATCTGAGGAAAGGGCAAACCTCACTCGTTCATCCAGATTTGGCATTTAAAAATCAACAGCATTAACTCATAGGGTGCCAAATGGGAAAGCACATTCAGTCCAAAGCACGGTGTAGGATGAAGAAAAGAAATCTAAATGTGACACAAATATTCAAAGCAGCTGTTTTTAAGTTTTTTTTTTTTTTTACTTTAGTGGCTGCATGGATTGCATGGTGCCAATATCCCCTAACATACTGATAAATAAATTTAAATGGTGTGCGTGGTTTACATAGAATGTAAAGTAAAAATACAAAACCGACAAACACCCCACAAATAATAGCCAATTACATGTTAGCAAAAAATAAATAAAGACTGACAGATCTGGTAAGATTTTTTTTTTTTTCCCCAATGGTCTTCTAACTGTATAGTTTCTGCTAAAACATCTTAATATGTGATTTATTTTTTCTTCTTTTTCTTGATAAAAGTCCCCCACCATTTAATGTACACATTAAAGCAGATTACAGACACACTGATCCCAAATAGTAGGGCAAACGCAGCTGAGCCTTTATTAAATGGAATGGAAACCCTATTTGAAACATTATCAAACTGGAACTGGACAGTGAGAGAGGGACAGCTTGGTAGAAATCAAAATCCAAATTCACAATGAAATGATCAGAAGAATTAGAAGGAGACAGGACTGTATGAAAAGCTGTTGTCTAAAATCTGGGATATTAATCTGTTTTATTACTTAACTATATATAATAATTAGTATTTATATAGCGCCTTTCTCCAGTGGGACTCAAAGGGCTTTCAGCGCATGCTCTCTGAATTAACCAAATCAGCAGCTGAATAGTAATAGTAATGTTATTATTTACCCAATTGATGGCACCCATTTTTTATGGACCTCGGAAGGATGAGTTGACCCTGCTGGGATTTGAACCTGTGACCTTGCATTTTGAACAGGCTTTGTAGTCAGAGAATTTACTTACAGACAAACACTAGAACTAATGAGCATTACAATAAGGAGAGAGAGCGAAAAATAAAGCACACAGACTGGCCCCCTTCTTTTCACGTCTCTCACCGTTTTGGACAGGAAAGCATGTGTCTGTGCCACGTTACTGGGCGCTATCATAACGGCCTCTAGTTCAGGTTCCTGCTCTGCTTCCGTAATTTGCGGTAGTGTGATGGATTGATCTGAGGATGCAAGGTTAATTGCCAAAATAAAGGGGATCCAGCAAAAGGAATAAAACAAATAGAATAATAATTTAATGATATTGTATTACAAGAAGAGAATAAGAAAAAAAAAAAAGTATGATACATATTCTTATTTATATAGCGCCAGCAAATTCAGTAGCGCTGTACAATGGAATATAGTGTTCTACTCCAGTGGAGAGATGTCATGTGGTTCCCTATGTACCAAACTATCCTCACGTAATTTACCAGTACATGAATGTCAGCTCAGGATATATAAGTTAGCGTAGCACCCACCATATTATGCAGAGCTGTACAATAGTTAATAGAATGAAATATTTTGTCACAAACCTGGCAGATGATTACCCGATTTAAACAAACAAGCATATATGAAGCTGCGGCATTGATGTCTATTCTGGGGAAATCTAGATGTTTTGGACTACATTTCCCAGGATGCTAAGGCAGCAATCTCTATTATAAAAGGTCATCTATCGCTGATCTATAAAGTTGATTATTCTATTACAATTTTATCCAACCCAGCTGCATCAGTGTGAGAAAACATTCAATTTCTAACTTGGGCAGCCAACAGTTAATATTTCCCAGACCATCTGCATTCCACATAAATTTACACAACGGAACAGAGGATTGCAGTTTATTTCATTAAGTTTTAAAGAACCGCTGACATTTCAAAGTTCTAAAACAGACGACTCACTACGTGCGAAGGGCCTGCAGCACTGTTCCCAAAAACCTATGTAGTAATGTTACTTCCAAAACTTGTCGGCAAAGAACAGAACAGAGTCGGAAGGTAACAGCCCTGCAGGCAAACGCATGCGTTCCAATACAGAATGCAAACTTTCTTTTTAGTGATTGTGCAGTCAGTTTGTGTCTATTCCACATATTAAGAAAGCACCATGTAATTTGCACTGCTGAAAGAACAGTTCTCAATATTAAACTAGTAGATCTGGAATGCCAAATGCAGAGATCTAGAGGAGAGGAGAAAACACATTTTAAATGAACGACATATAAATTAGATACATAAATGAGAAAAGGAAAGTAAAACAAGGATTAGTTAGATTAAAAACAAAAGAAGGAGGGTATGTATAAGAGGATAAAGGTCTAGCTGACTGCCTCAATGAATATTTTTGTTCAGTATTTAGAGATGAAAATGAAGGAAAGAGGCCTAAGTTAGGAAAAAATGACAACTTAGTCATTTGTTACATGTGAGTTTACAGAAGAAGAAGAAGAGGTTCAATTTCAACTGTCAAAAGTAAAGACAAAAAAGTCAATAGGGCCTGATGGAATACACACAAAGTTATTAAAATAGCTTAGTGGTGTACTAGCAAAACCATTAACAGATTTATTTAACCAATCATTGTTAACAGGAGTAGTCCCAGAAGATTAAAAGTTATCTAATGTTGTGCCCATTCACAAGAAAGGTAGCAGGGAGACTTCGGGCAACTATAGGCCAGTAAGCCTTACTTCAGCAGTGGGGAAAGTAATGGAAACCATGTTAAAGGATAGGATTGATGAACATCTAAAAACACATGGATTTCAAGATCAGAGACAACATGGGTTTACTTCAGGGAGATCACGCCAAACTAAGTTTATTGAATTTTTTGATTGGGTAACTAAAATTATAGATCAGGGTGGTGCAGTAGACATTGCTTACCTAGATTTCAGTAAGGCTTTTGACACTGTTGCACATAGAAGGCTTATCAATAAACTGCAATCTTTAAGTTTGGATTCCAATACTGTTGAATGGGTAAGGCAGTGGCTGAGTGACAGGCAACAGAGGGTTGTAGTCAATGGAGTATATTCGAAGCTTGGGCTTGTCACCAGTGGGGTACATCAGGGATCTGTACTTGAACCCATTCTCTTTAATATTTTTATCAGTGATATTGCAGACGGTCTTGATGGTAAGGTATGGCTTTTTGCTGATGATACCAAGATGTAACAAGGCTGATGTTCCAGGCGGGATAAGCCAAATGGCAAATGATTTAGGTAAACTATAAAAGTGGTCAGAGTTGTGGCAGTTGACATTTAATGTGGATAAGTGCAAGATAATGCATCGTGGACGTAAAAACCCAAGGACAGAGTACAGAATATTTGATAGAGTCCTAACCTCAACATCTGAGGAAAGGGATTTAGGGGTGATTATTTCTGATGATCTAACCCCTTAATGACACATGACATGTGTGACATGTCATGATTCCCTTTTATTCCAGAAGTTTGGTCCTTAAGGGGTTAAAGGTAGGCAGACAATGTAATAGAACAGCAGGAAATGCTAGCAGAATGCTTGGATGTATAGAGAGGTATTAGCAGTAGAAAGAGGGAAGTGCTCATGCCATTGTACAGAACACTGGTGAGACCTCACTTGGAGTATTGTACACAGTACTGGAGACCGTATCTCCAGAAGGATATTGATACTTTAGAGAGAGTTCAAAGAAGGGATACTAAACTGGTTCATGGATTATAGGATAAAACTTAACAGGAAAGGTTAAAAGATCTTAACATGTATAGCTTGGAGGAAAGACGAGACAGGTGGGATTTGATAGAAACATTTAAATACATAAAAGGAATCAACACAGTAAAGGAGGAGACCACATTTAAAAGAAAAGCTACCACAACAAGAGGACATAGTCTTAAATTAGAGGGACAAAGGTTTAAAAATAATATCAGGAAGTATTACTTTACTGAGAGGGTAGTGGATGCATGGAATAGCCTTCCAGCTGAAGTGGTAGAGGTTAACACAGTGAGGGAGTTTAAAGGGATACTCCAGGCACCTAGACCACTTCTGCCCATTGGAGTGGTCTGGGTGCCAACTCCCACTAACCTTAACCCTGCAAGTGTAATTATTGCAGTTTTCATAAACTGCAATATTTACCTTGCAGGGTTAAGTCCTCCTCTAGTGGCTGTCTATGAAAACGAATATGTTTTCCTGGCACTGGAGAATCCCTTTAAGCATGCGTGGGATAGGCATAAGGCTATAAGGCTATCCTAGATATAAGTTAAGGCCAGGGACTAATGAAAGTATTTAGAGAATTGGGCAGGCTATATGGGCAGAATGGTTCTCATCTGCCATCACATTCTATGTCACACGGTACGCTATGCAAGCTATTCTCTGGTGCGGATTTCTACATTTAATTTTACTTTTCAAACCAGACTAAATTTGCTAAATAAAGATTTAAAAAACAAAACAAAAAAAAAAACTGTTCCAACATTGTCCTGCTAGGATCACAATTTAACTACTTTGGGATTAATTTAGCAAATTTGTTTGAGTTCACCATTTAATGTCAAACTTGGATTGCAGAGCACTGTTACGTATCAAAAGGACAGCAGTAGTAGGTCAATACTACCCACAATGCACATGCCAACAAGTCATTTTTATTGATTTACTATTATACTACTGTCTTGCTTGGAGCTCGTCCAGCACAATACCGGAGTATGTTAGTGATTGCTAGCTGTGGCATTGATATTTGTGAACTACATTACCCGTTGATGCCATCAGCCTTTGCGCTACATTTCAAATATCTGCAGTGATAAACTTGGCAATAGCTGGTTTTGGTCTAACACACATAAAACAAACCAAAAAAACCTTACCTTGCAGACAGAAAATGGCGCGGCTCCTTCGCGATTTCCGTCTGGGGACAGCTTCCACTGTGGACATTGCTTGAACGGAGCCTCCATCTGTGACCAACATTGTTGATTTTGCAATAACCGTTTCTCTCTCCTGCAGGTATAAGTGGCAAGACACAGAAAAGTGTAAAATTTAGAATGCAGTGCTCCTGCATATTGGTTCTATAGTCAGGGCAATAGATCTACTAAAAACAAAGAACAGTGTAGGGCTTGGCTATGTTATTAACAACATGCTGTATTGTAAAATATAAGGAATGGTCTTGGTTTGGCCATAAGCCCTCCTGATGCACAATAGTGCAGAACTCAAGCAACCGTACAGTTTTAGTGATAATCCCATTTGAAACTAAATTGGGTAATCCCAAGATCAGGGGAAATGGCTGGCCTTAAAATACACTGATCTCAATCATGGCTGTGTCAGTGCCTGCGAGCATTGCATTGGCCTGTGTATTCCCAGGACACTGTCAGGAAAACACAAATTTTCTGATTTATTACAGGATTAACTACTAAATTACTTTCGTTTGATCCATATCAGGGTTTTTCTTTGGTTTTGTTTTTTTTTAGCCAAGAAGTTGGAATGTAAACAGAGCATAAAATAGCAATTTATGTATAGAATGTTGTTCTAAATAAATACATTTAGGAAAGTTTATAAAATAATTTTCATATTTCGCTTTTCCTTTTACAGAAATGAGGAATGCCATTTACAGTCCTTCTCTAGAGGCATAGAATGGAGTTTTAGAAACGAGTTTCTCTGCAGAATGAAGATCAGATGTTTGGGCCGATCTCAAGGCTTTATTTGGTAATCTCTGTAGACCAGTTTGCCCAGCTTTCCTAAAATGCTACGTATGTTAGAGAAAGGATTGTAACTATGCCTCCCAGTAGGATTTAGACTTTATTTATTGTCTGAATGTATAGTTCAAACATTTTTTGTAGCCGTTCCAGGATAATGTTAAACATTCCATGGTGTTTATCTAAACGTTGCAGATTTTAACTTATTATTTATAAAATATGAGGTGGAGTAAACTGTCATTATGGCTGAAAGAGAAACAAACAATAGTTTATGACAGTAGTTAAATCCTTTTATCTCTGTGTAGATCTGCTTAGTGACCAGTAATAGGGGATTACAGTAAGACGCAGGAGCTCCCTACAGGACGCAGATCCAATACACGGTTGCAGAGGCCAAAGTATTAAATAGGAATGAGCAAATAAATGCAGGAGAATTTGGTCTTGGTAAAGTTAGTCTATTGCAGGTGGCCGTATATTTGTTATGAAGAGGTAGGAGCCAGACAGGCATAGTTTCGGAAATCATTTATAGCTGGTTTTCGGTATGTCTCAAACTTTGGTTTCTTTAACTAGGAGAGATGTGAGACTCCACAGAGGAAACTGCATAGAAAGGGATATCTACAAGGCTGGAACTCTATGTGACCCAATCTGTTAAAAACAATCAAACAAAAAAAAAAATGAAATGTCAGTAGTAACAGGATTATTTACTCAAGAAAGAATTCAAAGTAAAATACAAGCTTCTAAGAGTAGCTGGTCTAACAGCATAGCAGACCTAGACAATTCTTCCAGTTTGTCTTTTTACCTAGCATTTGAAATTTACTTTGAATAACTCTAAGTAGTTGTGTGTTGAAGACGTGTTAAGATCTGAGAAACGAATAACACAGCGTTGCATTGACTCCGTGCTCAAGGTTTGGACTGTATGCGATCAAGGTTAGAGTACAAATGGAGACCATTCTGGATAACCAACGACGGTGTAGCTGGGGTAGATTAACAATTTTAAGGGATACAGAAAACTTTTAAGGAAAAATATCAGCACAACCCTTTGAGAAATGCAAAAATTCTGATAGAAATACTGGACAACTAAGCAATTGTAGATATTGAGGCCAAGTGATATCACTTTGAAGCACGAATGGTACACTACATGAACATAAAAACTCCTACGTTTCTAAACTTAGCTTAGCAAGCGTGGCTCTATAATACACATCAATAATGAAAAAACATAAAATAAATTGTGACAAAGGAAATTTCCTATAGACTGGGAGAACCTATTTTACTAAACCGCTGACAAAGTTATGCAAAGGATAAACAAAAGACTTACTGAGAAAAGGTGTTTCGATATGAACGGGCGAAATGAGGGCATGTTTTTTTTTTTTTAATGTAAAAATAAACAGATGTGATTTCTTTTGGTATGTGTCACAGATTTAGGTTACATTAATGATTTAGATAACTGAGTCCCCCATAGTAATATACCACGTACCACAGCAGGATGGCACAATTTTACTACAAGCAATGAACAATTTATCAAGGCAAAAACAGGTACTATTTTTGGGGCAAAGTAATAAATAATTATGTTATTTATATAGTGCCAACAAATTCTGCAGTGTTTACAGTGGGTGGACGAACAGACATGTATTTGTAACCAGACAAGCTGGACTCACAGGAACAGAGGGGTTGAGGGCCCTGCTCAATGAGCTTACATGCTAGAGGGAGTGGGGTAAAATGATACAAAAATGTAAGGGTAGTATTAGACTAGTGACAGTTGCAGAAGAGGAATCAGTCGGGAGCTTTTAACAGTTTAACCCCTTAAGGACACATGACATGTGTGACATGTCATGATTCCCTTTTATTTCAGAAGTTTGGTCCTTAAGGGGTTAAATGATACGCTTTTATGAAGAAGTGGGTTTTTAATGATTTTTTGAAGTAGTGGAGACTGGGTGAGCATCTAACGGAGGAGGGAAGCGAGTTCCACAGGAACGGTGCAGCCCTCAAGAAATCTTGAAGGCAAGCATCAGAGGTGGGAGTATGGACAGAAGATAGACGTAAGTCTTCAGCAGAGCGTAAGGGCCTAGACGGGAAATACGTGTGTATTAGGGAGGATAGATAGGTGGGAGCAGCATTATGTAGAGCTGTGAAAACAAGCTCTACATAATGAGAAGTTTAAATTGAGCTCTATATCTTACAGGAAGCCAATGTAGGGACTGACAGAAGGGTGAGGCGTCATCACTAAGGAAAGCAATAGAATATCTATTAAAGGTTCTATTGCAAACTACTGGTTTGCTAATTGGGGGGATATATAACAAGGCAAAAAGGTGCTATTTCTGATGCAAAGTGCATCCGAAATAGCACCTTTTTGCCTTGATATATATCCCCCCAATTAGCAAACCAGTAGTTTATATAAATGCCAGCAGATGGCACTCTCACTCTTCAGACATTAAAGATCACACAGCAAATAGCAGAACATGTATCTAGGATTAGTTTTGAGCAGAGTTTTAATTGGCAATGGCTGGGTACCAGTGCACATCTAACACTTTAGAGGAGAATCTATATACACCTAGAGTAGCTGGCAGGTACAAAAGAACACATCAACAGTCATAGACAGTCGTACACTCAAAGTGCACCTATGGTTACACAGAGAAACAAAAACAGTGACAATGCTGTAACGAGAGAGCTTACGATCTAAATTAAGCAAAGCAATGGAGATGGGGAGGGGACTAGTTGGTTGTTACAATGAAATTGTTAAAGGTATCACAGACCGTGCGAGAACCCAACATACTAGAATATATATTCTTTGGATATAAAAGTAATGTGGATGGATATGATTAAGCATCTTTTGTGCTATGAAATTGAACATGGATTTTTTTTTTTATGGCTTCTCTGCACCAATTAGTTTCTCAGTTTTCCTGGTCTAATCACCGTAAAGGATCACTCCTGTAAGAAAGCCAGAAAACACCAAATACCTATACTCTGAAAATAAAGTGCTCTGTGATCTATTTTCTAATTATTTCAATAGAGAATCTTTCTCAAACTGCTCACCCATGCAGCCAGGGCATAGAATGGCAGAGAGGTTTTTTTTTTTATGACGAGTCAAGATTTGCAGGATTTAAACACAAAATGCTACAAAATATGGTGAATGTAAGAATTGGCTGAGCACCTAACCGACGGGCAGCACAATGTATTGTAGAAATTTATCATGGCCTGCATGACATACCTGACTCTGTTATCCATTTAAAACTCACTGCAGAAACATACCTAAAGCTTCCTGATTCCACAAAGGGAAAAAATAAAAATGGAAAAAGTTAAAAAAAAAGAAAACACACTGATAATACTGCCAGTGCACAAGTCGCATTGAAGTCACATTACTGTGAATATTATTGTGACAGTGCAGCATCTGCTAACTGCTTAGCTTGCTGGGGGAGATGGGAGATGTTATCTTGACCAGACAAACTGAGGTTATCATTCAAGACAGCTCTGTTGTATCAAACGGTAACCCAGAAATAAGCAGCAGGCCTCCATTGGCATCTCCTCCTTGAAGTGTATCCTGGCTCAGATGAAGGTTGGATTAGCAGTAAGCCAGAGGAAAACTAGGGAGGGATCTTATCAGATCTAGACATTCCAAGGGAAAGAAGATTGTTTGCATTTATTACACACAAAACGTTACAAAATATGCAAGAATGAGCATATTAAATGCAGATAGACGTTACTCACAAGGAGGAATAGACTGTAGTATACCAAGAATTAGACGCAACCAGATGGATGGGTCGATTCCGACGGCGGTATGGCTCTTTGACAGGTGCGCGTTCCCGCAACCACCTGCTCATTGGAGCGACGCTACGAACCTGGTACTCCATAAGGACCAACCTAACGCTAACCACCACCCCAGGACCACTGACGTCGATCACACACGTAGGACAGCAAAATCTAAACATATCGCAGATCAGGAAACACGGAGGCAAGGGATGCTTGGAACACGAAGGCGCCTCTCTGGACCATGGGCGCGCTTGGCCTCAGGAGGGTCGGGGGGACGCTGTGCCCCCTATGGCAGAAACACTGAACTAACCCAACCTTCCCCTCCCTTTTTTTCCCCCCTCTTTCCCCTTCCCTCACCCCACCTCTCTCTACTAATCTTGCCGCTTGCACCTCAGAACACCCTTATACTTGAATGGAACTCATGGGCCTGACCTCTCGCCTCCTGACCGCCATATCGATATAAACCCGAGGTGGGCCGCACTAACGCACTTCGATATAAACTCAAAACCCGAACAGTCAAAATAGCGCAAGACTCAGACATAATACCCACAAGATAATACACAGATACAAAAAACTAGAGGGAATGGACGATCAGGCTCATACTGGGAGGCATAGCTAGTTCTGAGGTCCCAGAGACCGCTGACACTATCAGCCACCACTGTCTAATTACACGACAGGACCCGACGCAAGAACAAACGAGACAGAGAACCCATACCCCGAGACTGACTGCCTCGAGACTGACACAGGCTTAAATCAACGAGAAGCTTTCCTGCTAGCTAACTCGGGTCAAACCCAGGCCGAAGCCCAGGAGCTGGCATCATTGGTAGTCGGAGGGGAGGGTCGACAAAGGCCCATGGTTTAGTCAAATGCAGTATTACCTATAGGTTTTGCTACCTAGACCCAAAATGCATCACCTTTTATTGTAACATTTATTGAAATTATGATATACAAACAAGTTCAAAGCAAAAGTCTTGCTACGTAAAACTAATGTTACACCCTGATGTTGTACTTTGATATTGTAATAATCTGACCACTGTTCGTATTTCAATAAAAGGAGATTGACCAAGAATTAGACGCAACGTGCAGTTTATATTTATTATTACTATGATATTTATAGAGTGCCGTCAAATTCCGCAGCGCTTTACAATGGGTGGACGAACAGACATGTAGTTGTAACCAGACAAGTTGGACACACAGGAACAGAGGGGTTGAGGGCCCTGCTCAATGAGCTTACATGCTAGAGGGAGTGGGGTAAAGTGAAACAAAAGGGTAAGGATAGTATTAGACTGACAGTTGCAGAAGAGGAATCAGTCAGGAGCTATTAACAGTTTAATTGATAAACAGAAATAAAGCTACTGTCACATGTCAGTATTCCATGATAATCTAATTGTGAAATACAGGTTTCATTGAAATTCCAATGCATTCCAAAGATGCCATATACAAAGCAGGGACTACTTTGTAATTTGGTAAAGCTTGAGACTGATAAAAAGTGGAGCTACAGCATTAACTTTTGTCCAATCCCAGGAGCCATCACAAGTGTTGGCTGAGGGATTCAGGTATGGTCTCCATTCTTCAGAGAGGTCATCTATGAAAACTCCCATGGTCTTGCGGTATCCTCCATAATCCTCAGTGTTCTACTCTCACACATGCGCAAACGTACAGCACTAACGCAGCTCCTTGCAGATGAATCACCAGAAGTCAAAAAGACCACCAAAAAAGCAGTACAAGAAAAAAAGTATTTGCAAAATGTGCAAAGACTCCTGAAAGGAACAGATCCACTTTAAAGGGTTCTAATAAGCATCATTGTAGATATAGCACTCATAAGTATTAATGTCAGGACACACTATACAAAAAACACTCTCAACACTGCCAATATTGTCTTCCCAATTACCAAAATATAAAGAGGATAGCCGTTCAGTGTAGTGGTGATGTTACTAGTAATCTATGGATAGCCAGTTTTGTCAAGCAGTCTGGGAATAGTTTAATTAATTTAATATGGTATCTCTTAATTAAAGGGCAATAATTTACAGTGTGACTGGGACACAGTATAAATAAACACACGCATACTGATATGTGAATATTTTCACTCTGAGCAGACATTAAGTATGACCTGCCTATAGATCACAGTACATGCCAGGCACATGATGTGGCGTTATTAGCACAGATGGACACACTTACATTGTCAGGTACTATAGCCGTAGCGACACTATGACGGGACCTTTTCAGGAGTGGAGCGATCACTGGGGCCAGAGATGAACGCTGAAAGACAGGGACATGAGGATAACTTTGTGAAATCAACTCATAAACCATATTTTGTTAACCTTTGACCATAAACAGACAGTCGTTGATTCTACAGCTGATGACGGCGGTATTCTAGAACGTTCAGCCACAGGAGCTTACATCCAGATTATTATGTACAAATGCATTAACATGTTATGAAACAATATAAAATGAATACACAAAATGTGAAAACAGACACATGTAATAAGAGCTAATGAGGGCTAAGGGGAAATACAGCATTGTAAGTAGGTGCCTGATGTAGAGATGAGAACTCTGGAAGGTCAAATGTTGTTGGCAGAATGGGGGCCAGTATGAGCTGTGCTACATTTGTGTCGAGTGTTGTAGACGAGAAACAGGATTTTGAAGTTGAACCATGAAGAATATAGGAAATAAACATAACATTAAATAAGTTGGGAGGTGTGAGAAGAGCTGCTAGTAAGTCTATCACAAAAGTAAAAAAGTATGACCTAGATGAATAGAGGGTTGCAGTAATCAACGATTGATGCAACATACACAAACGGGAGCTTTATCTGCACCTTATGCTGCATCTTGTGTTAAAAAGGGGCAAACATAAGTCAGAATTTGCAGTTGTTTATGCACTGCAGGTTAAGAATAACATTCATCTTAGAGTGTGCTGTGGTTGGTGCTACTCTCTCCACGGCAGTTGAAAGGAGGCAAGTTTATAACCAGGAAAGGAGAAGACAGGTTGAGATCAGTTAGCAATTGTTAACTATTCCCTCCTTAGGACAACCTTTTTGTAAAGTATATACCTTTACATGGTCTGTGTTTCAAGGTACGATAAAACACTTTATTCAAAGGAGTCAAAACTGCACAAGGAATAGAGCAGCGCTAAAACTAAGCACACTAGGATGGGAGGCAGCACACCTGATAATAGGGGAATCCCTCCAACCCCCAAGAAAACTAGAACAAGTCAAACAACAATATACAGGTAGCGCCAAGAAAAATACTCCAAAACACAACAGTATATACTAAGAGCAATAAAAACACACGATATAAAACTTGAAAGAATAAGAAATACCAAATGGTACGGCACAGTCTCGTAGGTGGCAATAGATCTTCAGTCCTGGTATGGGACTTTTTTGGTAGCTTCACTTAATAGCAGAATATGAAAAGGAAGCAAAAACAGAGGCAAACCAATAGTGCAATATGGGAATACATGTAGGACAAACGACACTTAGATAAGATGTCAACTCACATATGGTAGAGCTATAACCAGCTCTAGGTAAAACAGCATTCAGTGGTATGCAATCCCCACACGTGTTTTGGTACACAGTAGAATGATGGTAAATCACATCTGGATAACGATGAGAACAACAACTGAAACTTACCGATCTATATAGAGAGCACTATTGGCTGCTTTTTTGTCATTCCATATCTACCACATGGTTACCCAGTTGTGATTTACCATCATTCTACCGTGTACCAAAAGGGATATCCTGCAAGTGGGGATTGCATACCACTGCATGCTGTTTTACCTAGAGCTGGTTATAGCTCTACCATATGTGAGTTGACATCTTATCTAAGTGTCGTTTGTCCTACCATATTGCACTATTGGTTTGCCTCTGTTTTTGCTTCCTTTTCATATACTGCTATTAAACGAAGCTACCAAGAAAGTCCCATACCAGGACGCGTTTCTCCACTTAGGGCTTCCTCAAGTGGCAAACAAAAAACACTCACCACTTGAGAAAGTCCTAAGGGGAGAAACACGTTGTGGTTTTTTTATGCTGCTGTTAAAATAAAGTATTTTGGCTACCTCACTACCTGCCTTTTAGCAATATATTTTTAGAACTTATTTATTTTTATACTTTTACCTGACATCTGGACCGATGACCTACTGTGGACAACCAACCAAAGAAATCCTTGGTAGGGATACAACCCAGGCTTGATACATAGAGCAGTTAGTCTGCTCACTCTATTTTGTGATTTACCATCATTCTACTGTGTACCAAAACCAGAGGGATATCCTGCAAGTGAGGATTGTATACCACTGCATGCTGTTTTACCTAGAGCTGGTTATAGCTCTACCATATGTGAGTTGACATCTTATGCAAGTGTTGTTTGTCCTACCCGTATTCCCATATTGCACTATTGGTTTGCCTCTGTTTTTGCTTCCTTTTCATATACTGCTATTAAACGAAGCTACCAAGAAAGTCCCATACCAGGACTTAAGATCTATTGCAACCTTAGGGACTGTGCCGTACCATTTGGTATTTTTTATTCTTTCAAGTGTTATTGTGGACTCTCTATATCCTGTTTTTTTTTATTGCTCTTATTATTATATACTATGGTGTTTGGAGTACTTTTCTTGGCGCTACCTGTATATTTTTGTTATACAAAGGAGTGCATGCTACAGCGTGCTTTACAAGCATGAACCCCATCAGATAAACTTAGCAGCGCTGTCTGCTATTTCAGCACTAACTTGTTTCCATTTAAACATAATGGCTGGCAGGACTCCCCAGCAACTTACCCGGTCTTTTATGAAGCATTGGCTATAGGGCTCTGGCACACAGCAGCCGGACAAGAGCTGAGAAAATAAATATCCCTGAAACCGAGCTGGCGATGTATGGAAAGATTCAGCAAAACCTACAGGAACCTCGTATCCAAATAATGAACTTAATTGTGGGTAGTTTGCTGACAAATGAAGTCAGTTCAGTCCTTCCCTTGCATTAATAACACCTGACCCCCTCATTTACTGGCATGACAGAGTCTGCGAGGACAGGAAGGGATGCGAATATTAATAGACTGTCATTTAAGTAGTGCATATTTTTATTATTCAACAGTGGTGATATTAAAAAAAAAAAGCAAGTTTCTCGGTACCCAATTAGAAGGAAGATCCAATTAATTGCATTGATTTACAATACAAAACTTCCCTGTATATCCAAACAGTCAAACTCCCTAAAGACAATTGGAGATTGACATAAATTTGTCTCCTTACTGTTTAGTGAATAACCCACTCCTGCCATTAACACTCACCCTTCTTTCTTGAGGTTTTTGTTTGTAGGGTTTGCCTGGAAGCTCATCCAGATCCTAAAGAATGGAAAAAACAGATTATATACAAACACACTTCCAAAAATAAAGAGGTGGCTGAGAGAGAACGGGGTGGAGAAATTTTTTTTTTTTTTTTTAAATGAAAACGCAGAAAAAATAAATAAAATACATTTATCAAAGTCTCAAAACATGCTTACAGTCTAAAGCAGCCCTATGGCTTCTAAATGGAAACATAGTTCTTAGGGACCGTGCTGCCTGACTGCGATGCTATCATCCATGAAATGGGCAGAATATTTTAAATCTTCTCTGTGAAACAAACAAGTTAGTAGCATACAGGACACAGACTTTACGCCTAATTCTGAGTGTCTGGTTAGATTTCAGGGCATTAAAAAAAGTCTGGTGTGTGGGGGGAGTGAAGGAATGCAATCTTTAGGTCAGTAAAGCTTGCACTCTGTGGACTTCATTTCCCATGGTGCTCAGCCAACCTAACTGCTATAATAATTAAGCCATTTCCCAGGATAAAACAAAGATACATTGTGTAAAAGATCTGGACGTGTGACACAACCCCTAACCACTGTGTGCACTAGACAACAGTGCTATCTCACCAGCTAAATATTAATGCTGCCTCTGGGAGACACCGTTGGCAGCTTTGGACGGTTCAAAAGCATTAAGGAAAGCAAATTACAAACAGGATGTATTCTCAGGAGCACTGTGTGAGCAGGGGAGGGAGAGCTAAACAGGGTGGAGGAGGGGGGAGAAGGCTCCCCACAGGGACCTTTCTCGGCTGAACGCTCAGCGAAAGACTCCCAGTTACACCGAAAGGGACAGAAATTAGCATTTAAATTGGATGGAATGAGATTTTGTGGTTTTATTTTATTAATAAATATAAACCCGTTGTCAGAAGAGTGAAGAGAGCAAGGGCATAGTGTATGTAATGCACTGTTTTTTTTTCTCTTCTAAGACCCCAGAATGTCCAGCCACACCAGTAAGGCAGTAGAAGAGGTTGTTACATGAGATATGGGGAGCGGGGGGTCAAGGGGCAGAGATCAGTGTAGACATGAAGTGTGGCTGGGATGTGATAATGCTGAATAATTAATAATTAAAAAAAAAAAAAAAAATACTCCCTCCTTATTCGCTTACGATTAAAAAGAACCAAAACTAGAATGAGGCTCAATGGATCGTGAAGAACAGTCCAATCTTATCTTACCAAATCATCATCCGTCCGGTCATAGCTAATGCCAGAATAAGACAGGAAAGAATCATCTACTATTGATGTCCTGGAACAGAGGGGGTAAAATAAGATAAACGAAAAAAAATAAACACCTAAAATCTATATGTTCTTGTCAAGAAGTATTACTTAACAGGGAGTAACTTTATAGGGCACACAATTTAATAGTTACATGTGTTTGTCAAAGTACTAACAAAATTGGAGATTACACATTACTTTTGGGAGATTTTAGGTTATGGTGCACCAGTAACAAACATATATAGCAGCTGTCATAGGTGTGCACACAACGACATGCTCCCACAATGCAGTTTCAGGACGCTAAAGAGCCCGGTACAACACTGCGCACTAAGCAGCACAGGATGCCAATATGGGAGAGCATCCTATATCGCAGACAACCACCTATCCTTCAGCTGAGTGTTCTAGCATAGATCTAGTTTATAGGAACATTAGAAGCACTAGAACAATTGCAGCCCATAGTAGTGATTCTGGTGCCAGACGTGTCCCGGTTCCTTCCTAGTTTAATGTGTCTGGGTCCTGCCAGGCATGCGCATCCAGATTCCTGCTTTCCAGATTCTCATTGTGAAATTTAAAGTGCTCCACTGTATTGGAGCTAGTTCCACTCGGTGATAGTATTATCTCCTCCAGCATGACAAGCCAGATGAGGTGCAGCTGCCCCCCAGAACCCAGGTTAGTTGTCAAACCATTCTGAAATATTTTGAAAAATTTCTCTGTGAGGGCATCATGGCACTCATGACACCATAACTGCTACCGTGGGCTGTAGTGGCTATTATGCTTGGAGTGTTCCTTTAAAAGGTTACAATGTATGGAGAAAAGTACTTTAAGGTGGGCATGCCAGTCACAAAGATGGGTGAAGGGAAAAAAAATGAAAGGGTCAACATGATGCTTTTGGTAACTGGCAAAATACAAGTGCAAAGATTATAACCGTTCCCTTAAAGAAAAGTAAATTCTTTAGACTAAACCTGTTTCCATCTTGCGTTGCAGCATTGCCTTTGGTTCTGCCAAAGAAGGCCAACACAGATTCGCTGAGGGGAGCCACTGCCTGACCGTCAGTCTTTAAAAGATCGCCAATCAGCAGGAGTTGACGTTCCTTAAAAGGAAATATTAAAAAAAAAAAAAAAAAAAAATATCGAAAAACACTGTAATCAAGTGTTACATTATAACCAATAATGGTTTTGTGGTTTTGCAACATGAACAAACTTTACAAGATCTCAATCCCCTAAAATAGTTAACCGAACGTGTGTGGGAGCCTGGAGTGCCCCTTTAAGAGATAAGCTCAGCAACATTACCTACAAATAAGTGGGTTGGTGAGAATTTACTTCAGATGCTGCATGGTGTGGGGATTTGAAGCAAATGCAGCTAGGTCATCTTAAATGTGATTTGTAGCTTTAACCACTTTGCATATTTGTAACCTGCATAATGCATTAAGAAATGGATTAAATATAGCCATGTATATCCCTTTAAGACCAATCACTTGTGTTTTTCAACTCAACTGCCCAACCTGTAGTTAGACATCCCTCCACACAATTCCTGGTAACAATTACCCTGTGCCCAACCTCAGTCTGAGCGGACGTGTACACACAAAAAAAGCCAGTCACCAAAACAACTTCAGCTTGATGAACTAGATTGGGTGTATAGCTCATGCCTCTGAAGTCTCATTGCTCAATTCTCTGCCATTTAGAAATTAAATCACTTTTGTTTCTGTTTATACAGACCTAGCCACACCTCCCCTGGAAGTGACAGACACAGCCGGATTAAAAAAAAAATTAATAAAAAATAAATAAAAAAAAAAGTAGTTTCACTTTCAATCAAATTTAAAAGTTTGTATCTCCTGCTCTCTAAAGTGAACTTTAAGGAGGCTCCTGCAGGGTCTAGCAAGCTATAATCAGAGCAGGGGATAAGACATTCTAAATTATGCAGAATTTTCAATCAAGAAAGCATAAACATTAGATCACATTTAAAGGAAGTGTTTAGGAAGGCTGTGCAAGTCACATGCAGGGAGGTGTGACTAAGGATGCATAAACATCCTTAGTCACACCTCCTAAATGGCAGAGAATTGAGCAGTGAGACAGCAGGGGCATTATCTATACACCAGAACTGCTTCATTAAGCTAAAGTTGTTTTGGTGACTATAGTGTCCCTTTAACCAAATGTTTTGATGAATATTTACCAATTGCGGAGACATCTGAAAGGCTGTATTTATGATTGGTATGCAGAAGCAGCTAATGGCCGTAACCACCTAAAATCAAATCTAACATTTTCTGTACCACATGCTTCTATTTACACCAAGTAGCTCTATGGGCATTACCACTTTATCCAGTTCAACCTCAACTTTTTGGCGTTTCCTCATCTCCACTTCCACCTGGTTGCGGGCATGTTTAAGCATCACTTGTAGCGCAGACCTTTCACTTTCACATTTTATCAAGAATTCTCGTTTTTCCTTTAATTCCTGATCAGCCTTCTGCCACTGTCCTCTTGCTACATCAAAACTCTGCGCCACTTGGATAAACTCTTAGAAAAGCAAGGAGAAGGAAGAAAGAAAAAAGAATGTAAGCGAGAGTCAATCATATAGCTGATCAAGCTTGGCGACAGTTATCATTAAACTACCATTACCTTCCTCAGCGGTAACATTAAAGTCAATGATCTTCAGCATCTGGTCGAAATAGGACTGCAGAGCGCGTTTCCGACTTTCCCACATCCTGTCACAGAGACACCCAAATATTAGAGAGGCTGCATAAAAAATACCTGATTTCCTAAGAACACAGTCCGCCTAATGAGTTGCCCAACCACAATTCCCATGAAGCTTTGGTAAAATAAAACATCACTAGTATTAGTAAAGGACCTTTTGATACGTTTCATATACAATTACATCGAATGTAATAGTCTTCAGGCTTTAAACGGTAAACCATTCTAACTTTATTATTGAAAAAAGATCACGTGTACAGTTTTGTATAGAATATACAAATTCTTTAGTGCATATCCTGGATTGCCCACGCTGTGGCGGAGCAGTCTTTTTTAGCCTTTTTTGGTCAGAAGTGTTGGCTTAGACTATGTGCAATTTGAAGGTGTGAAAAGTCCCCCAGTGCTTGTTTCCATGTACAGTGTTTATTCTGATAAACTGTGCTTCTCACCAAAAATGAACTAAAGATGGCCGCTCCCACAGAACTAGAAAATTCAGACGATTCAATGATGTATTACAAATATATTATACATACTGAGATTAATGTAAGTTTCTAATTTAAATAAAAGTTATTTTCCTTTAAAAAAAACAACAACAAAAAAATTTGTATATGAGGCTGGATTTTATTAAAAATCCCCAAAAACTGACAAAATACCTTCACCGTCAAATCGCTTCCTTTAAAAAAAACAACAACAACAAATCCGCCATGTTTTTCTGGACAAAAATTACGTCACGATGTTAGGCAGTATGTAGAAAGCGTTGCCCAGCATTATGAGCAAATTATAACCTGCAGGAATTAAAATCTATTTGTTGAGAAGACACCAAAACGAGTTGTGCGCAGTTAACAGATTTCCCTACGGATGAATGCTATATCCCACAAGGCAAGACACTGGTCATTACAGTGCACCTGGAGTCTCACAGCTCGGTGGCACTGCCATGGACATGTGCTCCAGAAGGAGGCATGTTTAAGACTTCTCTCCGCTGCACTTTAAATAGACTTTACTGGTCTGAGAGAATAAAGGAGCATGCTTTAAAGCAAGCATGTCAAACTCAAAGGCTAACAGTGGCCAAATAAATAAACAAGGTTTACGTTTATGTGGGCCACCAAAAACCCAAAAACTTCAGTTTTCATAGATTTATTTTAGAAAAGTACAGTATAAAAATATTGCCTGACACTGTATGTCCTCACGCTCGTAAGGCTTCAAAGTAAACAAAAAAGCAAATTTATTTTAAGGAGACGTGCATTTGCATATAACCAATGTTTCAGTCCAATTACCTCGACATATTAAGAAATGTTTGGTAATGGGACTGAAATGGTGAATGGATGCTGTTGCACAGCTGTGAAAAAACAAATGACATTCTCTTGTTGATTTTAAAGTCTTATGAGTGTGTTCTTCACTTTGGCTGAGATCATGAAACTTGATCTCCGCAAATCCAATGCTTTCCCATAGGAAAGCATTGGGAGGCTATTGTGCATGTGTTGTAAAAATCTGTGCGGCCAATCAGCATCTCCATTGGGAGCATTCAGCACCTCCATGAAGACCCAATCTAATACACTGCCCCCTCCCTCCACCCAATCTAATACACTGCCCCCAAATCCAATACACTGCCCCCTCCCTCCACCCAATCTAATACACTGCCCCCAAATCCAATACACTGCCCCCTCCCTCCACCCAATCTAATACACTGCCCCCAAATCCAATACACTGCCCTCCCTCCCACCTGCACCCAATACACACTGCCCCAAGTAAATCCACACACTCCTCAAGCCCCCTCCTCCCTCCACCTAACGGGCCAAGCACTGCCCCCTAAATCCACAATACACTGCCCCTCCCTCCTTACCTACCTAATACTTCTGCCTTCTGCTCACTCTACCTTCTAATACACTCTTTTCTACCACTCTTAATAAGTGTGCTCTCCTCAAATTACACATATTACCTATACTTACTACACTTTCCCCTCCCACCTCAAATTAATATACCTCTCCTCTTTTCAAATTAATACACTTTCTTCTACTTAAAGGGGATACTATAATACCTAGACCACTTAGCCAATGAAGTGGCTCTGGTGTAATGTCTCAGGTTTTAACTTTGGTTATTGCTGTAAATATATAGCAGTTTTGTATACCTGCTGGCGTTTACTGGAGTATAATCCAGCTCTAGTGTCTGTTTTCCTGACAGACGCTAGAGGTGCTTCTGCGACGCTGGATGCGAATTGAGAAATGCTTTCCTATGCACTGTTAGAATGCATGCGCGGCTCTTGACGTGCATTACGCTCCACTCAGGAGCTGACGTCGGCGGGGCAGGAGAGGCCACCAGCGCCGAGGGAGCCCGGTGCTGGAATAAGGTAAGTGGCTGAAGGGGTTTTAACCCCTTCAGCCCAGCGGGAGAGGGACCCTGAGGGTGAGTTTTCCTGACACTATAGTGATCCTTTAATACACTGCCCCCTCTTTCCCAATTTAACACACTGACCCCCTTCCCCAATTTAATACACTACACAGATAGGACCCCCAAGCCCCTCTCTCCCTACCTTAAGATGAGGCGCCCGTCGTCCAGTTCCAGCCCTGTTCTTCTCTGCTCAAGCAGACCAGATGCTCCTCTGGCACTGCGAGCAGGAGGGAAGGGGGAGTGGCTTGCCTGCTCTGCAGACAGACAGCCACTCTGTGCTCTTGCGGCTGCGGGAGCACGAGATCGGCCATGGGAGGGAAGAGAAGAATCAGTCGCAGCCACAGCACAAAGCGGCCCCAGGGCAGGTGGGCCGCAAATATAGTGATTGTGGGCCACATGCGGCCCGCAAGTTTGACATGCTTGCTTTAAAAAGAGTTACTCCAAGTATCATGACCACTTCAGTGCTTTAAAGTGTTTATGGTGCCCAACAGATGTATGTGCAATGCTTCATTAAAAAAGATGCAGAGTTTAACCGCTTATCTGCCAGAGGTGTAACTATACCATCTACAGTGCCATGGGGTAGTGGGTCCATTAGCCAGCCTGGAACAAGAGCCCTCGGCCGGTTAGTGTCAATTCTGTGCACAATCCAATGCAGTCACATTCATTGGCTGAGAACGGTCAGCTAACACCTTCAGTGAACAGCAAAGTCCAGATGCCAGTCACCAAGGAGGCCCGGCAAGGGGGTAAATTGTTGTAAGATGGTTTGTCCCATTAACGTGGAATGGTGCCAAGGTACTCCTCACAGTGGGCTGTTGCGGTTATGATGCTTAGAGTAACCCTTTAATGTAACCTAAGCTGTGGCAGAGATTTCTAGACTTCCAGCAGGCTCCCTTTAAGACCCAATCAATGCTGCACTAATGGAGATATGCAGAGTGCCTCTCTATTATTGTTACAGTTCAAGTAGGCGTACATGTATTTGGATTTCAGAGTTTATACATCGCCCTTTAATATAATGGGCAGCTAAAGGTTGGCTTAGCGTCATGGTAAATGGAATCTGGTAACATCTGCAGTACAAAGGTTGGCCAGTGCTGACCGAGAAACTATAGTCCATGCATCTCAACATAAAGACTCCTCTTCATGCAGATCTCAACATGAACTTTAGCTGAGTGATGTGAACGCACAGTCATTATTAGGCTGGGCCTCACAGAGAGCTTGTTCTATTATTGGCACACTGGAGGGGGCTAATGTAAGCTGACAGGAGGGTGCTCTTCTACAGAGCCAACAAAGCCAATCTATTTGTAGTGTTTTTTTCCTGGCATTAATCTAGAGCGCAGAGAAGGTTAGAATGTAAAAATCGAACAGAAGTCACTATGCTTGCTGCTTCTACTGAAAGTGTAAGATGCACAGAAGGTTTCTCTTTTCATTAACACTTTCTTATCCCAAAGTCAGAATTATTCTGTCACGGTCTCCTCAGCCCAAAAGTTCAATGAGGAAACAATTTGGTTGTGTAATATTTTGCACAAACACGGCCCAATTCCTTGCTGTCATAACTCATTTAAAACAAGCCCAACATCTATTCAGCATGTGTTGAACGAGCGTCAGGTTCTGTACAAATTGAATCTATAGATGTTAAATGTAAAACATCCTTACTTCCACCTCCAAAGATAGACAGTTTAGTGGATAATATCCAATGAATCTGTCCATTCCCCAAACAAATCTATATTGCAGCCAACAAAAACGCTTAGATGACCCCGGCAGCCCTGCAGATCGGTGCAGCCCCACACCCAGCTTCTACTGACACACCAGACATGGTGGGATACAGTATACATCCCTTGGGGAAGGTGCATGGGCACCGACTGGGTGGTTGTCAAGGTATATTCTAAAATGTGGTCTAGTGATGTAGCTTCCAAATGTATAGACTCAGTGACTTACTTTATGTACACGTGCACTACCACAATGCCAAATATGTAATACGCTGTGGGTGTGCCTCTATAAGCGAAATGGTCGCCGACAGGCACGGCAGAAGTTAAATAGTTCGCTATTGAAATAGACCATTTCACGGTCAGACCATGTATTGTGGCTGAAGGGTATGAGAAAATATTAAAATATTACAAAGAAAAAACCTGACCTGTATAATTGACTTTCTGCTCACATTGCAAGGAATGTTTGAATGCTCTACATACATACTGCAAACAATACTGTCCATCACAATCATTTTAACTCCCTTACAGTATTGATTTCCAACACACTACTGGGAAATAATTCCACAAACCTATTATCCCAACCGTTGTGATTACAAAACCAATGATTGCAGCAGCACCAGGACTAAATACCCCATATTTTTATCATGTTAAAGAGGAATTGGGCACGAAAATCATAAAGTTAAATAAACGTAACATTGAGACAACAGGCACTGAAAAAAAGAATTGAATCTATACATTGTATATAAAATATATTATTACTAGTAGCAAAATGTAAATCTAGCCAGCATTCGTTCTACAGCATATAAAACCAAAATACATGTTCTATTAAAAAAAAAAATGCTTGTTTTTTTATCTTAATTTAAAAAGAAAAAATTGTAATAATTTATTTTTGAAATCAATGAAGCATATTTATAGGGATACTTGAACC